ACCAGTGTGGTGGCTGGCTGTTCTTTTTTGGCAGCTTGATCATACCCTAGTTACAGGGCACACCCAGTCTGTTTGCAGTTCACTTTGCTGCTGCTCTAATACATGTCTCATTGCTATCTATTTTTGGCAGGACCCCTGCATCAGAGAAAGTATCAGGCAGCTTTTTTTTTCCTCATTGTTGTACCAGCCAGGACAGAATAACACTGTAATTGATAATCTAGAGAAAAATATTTTGTATCTAATTTTAAGCAGCTCAGAGACCATGGTGAATACTCAAACTCCTGAAAATTACTTCTCCACGTGTTTGCATGTCTGCAGGTCTTATCAACTTAAAGCACTCTATGTCCTCTTGTCCTAAAGTGGAGCCATTTCTTCCGGGACACTATGAAGTATTGGATTTAAAGCCATCTGGCAAAGTTGCATCGGTGGAACTGGTAAAATTTCATAGTTGTAAAGATGAACCTCTGCATGTGGCGTATGATACACTGGAAAATCTGAATGCAGGTAACACAGCAAAGAAATAACTGATTTTTATAATCTTGTTTTAAATGAATCAGAATTAATCATTGCTTAGTTTTTCCTGAACATGTAAGTGAAAGAATCATTTGAAAAGAAACTTGTACAGTAGGAATGAGATATGTGGGGGGCTCTCTTTGTACGAGACTGCATGTGAATATATTGGAGCTCCTGTATCCTTGCCTGAAATTCATTTGATAGGAAAGAATTTTGTATCCTTATTTACTGGACCCCTTGATGAAAACTCTGACTGATTATTTACTTTTGTAACAGGTTTGGATCTTGAAACTGTGAAAAGCAACATTCGTCTTCTGTTTGAAAATGCTGTTAGAAAACGTTTGATGAGTCATAGAAGAATTGGTTGTCTTTTGTCAGGTAAATGACAAAACTCAAAATTATTAAATTCCCTCCCCACCAAAAAATAAAATGTTTGTTTACTTTGGTCTTTCTGTAATGTATCTTTTCTAACTACCAAATGTTTTAACAGAATTTTGAAGGAATTCTTGAAGTTCTTATAGTCTTTATTGGAATAGTAGCTGCAAGGAGATGAGATGGGGATTAAGCAGGCAAGAACTGGCAAAGTTGAGGGAGCAAGGGCAGTCTTAGGTCATGTCTTCGCTCCTGGGAAGATCGAAACTGTGGTGGTCAATCTTTCAGCGTTTGATTTAGTGGGGTCCAATAAAGATCTGCTAACTCAACTGTTCAGGGAGCCCCCATTGACACCAGTACTCATCGATTCACAAAGGAGTAAAGGAAGTCAACGGGAGTGTTTTGCGCCAAAGGATGAATTAAGGTACATCAACTCCAGCTACACAACTACCATAGCTGGAATTGGGTATCTTAATTCGACCTTCCAGATAAGTATAGACAAGACGTCAGGAAGAATGAATAGTAGCATAGTCATGAAGGAGATGAAGAGTACAGTTTTGTATTGGAAGTGGGGGGGAACCACTCCAATCTTGGCAGGATGGCAGAGGGAAGGTATGTTTTTGTAGAATCATTATACCATTATGGAAATTCTATTTATGTGTATTAAAGATTTATGTTGAGGTTCCAGAACTGCACATACACTAGTAATTGCTACTACATGTGTTTGACTAAAATTGTACAGTGCAAACTTTTTGTTCTAGAACTGTTTCACCGTCATCATGTATCTTGGATTCATGCATAATTTAAAAAGCAAGACTGTGTAAATCATATTTCCATTGTACAGATGCGTGTGCCTTAAAAACGTAATGAAATAAATTGTTTTGTTGGTAGGGGGGTTGGATTCCAGTTTGGTTGCTTCAGTGGTCCTGAAATTGATGAAAGAATCAAGCATCAATTACCCGTTCCAAACCTTTGCAATTGGAATGGAAGACAGTCCTGATTTACTGGCTGCCAGAAAGGTATAGTGATATTTTTCTTTTCAGCTATAGTTAGCATGCTCAAGCTGAATAGAAAATACTGCTTTTATATTACCCGTGTTAAGGTCACAGTGTGTCCTGCATGTAATCTTAATCCTTTTTGGGATGGAATCAGAATTTTTTAGTAAAACCAAGTTTACACTTTGTTTCTTAATTAAATGGGAGAAATAGTTAGGCTTTAAATTGTTTATACTGTATATTTAATTTTTTTTTTCTGACCAAAACTGCCACTGCTGTATGACTACAAGGCAGAACCCTGCAGAGGATCTGGGTTCAAATGGGTCTTGCAGGACCCGCTGCCCTACTAGCAGTGGGTAAAGTAATTTGTTGCTGATTAGAATGGTTGGGTGCAAAAAACCAACCAACCAAACAAAAAAACAAATGACAGGAATTTGTGTAAAACAAACTGCAAGGTTTGTTTTATTTTTTTTTAGTGATTAAAAATTCAAATATTAAGATGGTTGTTTTGTTTTTGGTAGCATGGGGAACTCTCTCTCTCTTGCAAGATTGAAGGATTTTCATATGTGAACAGGAGTAAAAAAAGCAAGAAATAATGCATGTGTTTGTGGAAGTGGCCATTGCAGTGAGGAATGTGAGTGGGATTTAAAAAAAAAAAAAAGTTCCACACAGACCTATAGCGCAAGGGCCATACTTTCAAAGGTGCCTCAGTTCTGCCTGTATTTGTGGCTGAGTCTAAGGCTACGTCTTCACTGCGAGTTCTTCCAGCAGTGAATATGTTAATGAGGGAAGAAGTGTGGATATTTTTATTTATTTATGTATTTATTTTTTGCGCAAAACCCTTGTTTTGTGCAAGAGCCTTATACCTCTCTGGGACAGGCATAAGGATCTTGCGCAAAACAAAGGTTTTGTATGCAAAACACCCCCACCCACACTGCTTCTTTTTGCGCAAAAACCCTTCGCAAAAAGAAATGGCAGAAAATAAGCTAATGAGATCACGACTTATGCTAATGGGTCCCTCATTAGCATATTTTCTGCCAGAAGAACTCGCAGTGAAGATGAAGCCTAAGGGTAAACCACTGACTTTTTTAGATCTTGGAAGAACCATCGGAAGAAATCATAAGCTGTAGTCTGGACAAAACTTTGGGAAGCACTATGCTGTCTTTTAGACTGTGTGGAATTTTAAAAGAAAGTCATAACTATTTTTATAGCCATTACAGATTCCACTGTACTTTGTGTAAACATTGGGGTTGTAATAAATTGTAATTTGGGAGGTATGTTCCTCCACACTTTATTTTATTTTCTTCTTGTAATTTTTGTTGCAAAAGAGCTCTGGCATTTTAGTGAAGAAGATGTTTGCAAAGCACTTTTGGTTAAAATGCCAGTTACTAATGTAGTTTTTTTTATAAACAGGTAGCTGCTCATATTGGCAGTGAACATCATGAAGTAATATTTAATTCTGAAGAAGGAATTCAGGCAATAGAAGAGGTTATTTTTACACTGGAAACATATGATATTACAACAGTTAGAGCTTCAGTTGGTAAGATTTGTTTTTTAATATTCTTTACTAAGTACTGATGTGTTGTTTTACACAAAAGGTATTCTCCTTGTATGCTGTCTAATGATCAGAAAGGGCCTGGGAGCCAGAAATCTTGATTTTTTTTGTTCCCAACTTTGCCATTGTCTCCAGGCTTAGCTTAACATTTATTTCACGGCAAGCTGGAATGTAAATTTATTCTGTACTAACCTGCCATGAGCTAAATGTCTGTGTGGACCCTGCTGCCACACACTAACAGTTTCTTTGTGCTTTTTGATCTACTATGCTTTGAAGCAGAAGTAGATCAGAGGTCATTAGGGAATTGTTAATGCATGGCAGGTGGGTCCATGCAGACTCTTAGTTTGTGGCAGGCTAGTGTTGGCTACATTTCACCACAGCTGTAGTATAACTAAATGTCTTTTGTAGACAAGCCCTCATTATGGGATCATGGCAAGTTATTTATCTTCCCAGCAAGACCTGGTTCTGGTAATAGATTGTTTGATCCTTAAATGAGAGGCCTGAAAGGACTATTAGATCATCTAGTCCAGGCATGTCAAACTTGAAGCCTGCTGAAGGCTGCACAAACTGATAGCTTTCAGGGCCACCAAAGAAAATGTACTTCTATTGGAAAGTCATCATTATTTATTATTATAGATTATGTAGGTATACTTCATAATTGTTCAGGTCTTGTTTTAATATAATATAATTTCATGCGTATAATTATTTTCCCATGTTAAATAATTAATTACAAATGTAAGGTACTTTTAAATTTTGTACATGATACATAACTTGTTTTATTGAAATAAAAACAAGTATAGACCATGATTAATCAAAAAGAACAGGCTTCTGTGAAAATTTCAGATACTTTGTAAGTTTGCATAGTATTCATGCAATTGCAAAAAATTGACATTTATTGATATAAAGTTAATATACATTTTGTGATTTTATTTGGGAATAAATAAATAAACAAAATGTTAACAAAATATTCCCCTTCCTCTCCCCCAGAGCCAGGCACTCCCATATCCCCGTTCTAACCCAATCCCTCTCTGTTCCCCCCTGGAACTCCCCCTGCTGTAACCCAATGCCTCATCCTCCCCCAGAGCCTGCCCCCCCCAACCTAATG